AATCGTAAGTTTATCATTTCCAAAATGGGTAACGAAGGCGATGCAAAATTCAAGGTCGCATCCAGTATATTTCCAAGATTTTTTCGTTTATCAACTTTGATGAGTGGTTCGTTGGCAAACAGTATTACTGGGTGGTTGATATCCAATTTTGTGGTAAAAGTTAGTTTAACTACTTGTGACATTGGACCAGGGATCCTCCATTTTTGGGTGACTTTGGACCAGGGATCCCTCATTTTTCGGTGACTTTGGACCAGGGATCCCTCATTTTTGGGTGACTTTGGACCAGGGTTTAAAGGCATCCTCCAATCATCAACCTACCTTCTCATTAAGTATAGATCATGGTTCAAGTTTTTAGAAGCTATATTTTGTTCTTGAAATGTAGTGAACAGCGATGTATCATTTGCAAAGAGTTTTACTTTGCCTTTTGAATTTTCAGCATGGTCGTTTATATATACACAAGAAAAAGGAGGGGCCCTAGTGTGGATCCTTGGGGTACACCAGCTAATATTTCCCCTATTTTGAAGCCGAACCGTTCAGAACAGTTTTCTGCTTTTGGATAAGAGATAGAGATTAGAGAAGAGGAGTTACCAGCACTTATGTTCGGAACAGGTTCTGCTTTGGTGGTTTTTTTTTGTGCTCAGAAACTGTTTCATAGAATAGTTTTCTTAAACTGCAATTATAGTTTTAAAAGTTGATTTTGTCTAAGGTACCGTATTTCTTCTAAAGAACGCCGCCCTCTGATCAACGCCGTCCTCTATTAAGCGCCGCACTTTAAGCCAACAAATTATAATAAACGCTGCCCTCTGATTAACGCCGCACTCTTTTAAACGCCACATCTTGAAAAGCGGCGTTCATCAGAAAACAAACCAAATAAGGAATAACGAATAGTTTATATGTTTAGTATTCGAAACCTATGAAGGTTTTCATGTCACGACGAGGACTCTGACGGAGACAGTGTCATTGTCATCTCTTGGCACCTCCAAAACGTGAACACATCTTTTGTGAACTTTTCTGAGTCCCTAAATCATTATTACATGTTTTTGAAAAAAGGAAACACTGTTTAGAGTCTGGCTTGATCTTTCTAATTTTTTTATTTTACTTTTCTTGTTATTTTTCATTTGGCACATTTTCCTTTTGAATCAAACACTGCCTACTAGTAAATGCCACCCTTTATTCAACGCCGCATCCAATAGTTGGATTTTGTTATAAACGCCGCGGTGTTCTTTAGAGAAACTGCGGTAGTTGGGCTTTTCTTTAGCGACGTCACGTATCTTCAGTTCCTCATTCATCAACTTTGGCAAATTCAGACTAAATCTAAGTGGTTTCGTTATTATTTTTTTGTGAAGTTGCATTTACACATGTGTTTTGTATGTTTGCTGTTAGTACTTTTACAACAAGAGACAAAGAGTTGCTAGACTTGCTCCAAGTCTATTTCATGCTTGAGAGAGGAGTATTTATTTCCCTCTCGTGGACTTCTGCGAAGGAGACGGACGGCGGGGCGGGGAATCGAAGCACACTGGCAAATAATTTCTTTAAATGTGTGCTTGTACATATGGGTGTGTGCTCTTTGCTCTGTTGTCACGTTCGAAAAAAGCAATGCTCACTGTTTTCTGTGTTCGAAGTAACTGCTTCAGAATAATAAGACTCAGTGCTTGCGGCTGAATTCTGGTGATTACAAATTGTTTGAGTGAGTTATAGCGAGCAGTTCTTCAAATTCTACATAGCTCGGTGATTATTTGAATGAATTTTGTAGATTTTGTGCCTTTTTAAATTTTGATTTAATTGCAATCTGCAGTCTTTGATCAACTTTTTAACGAGACCGTCTTAAAAGTGGTGATAACGATGTTTATCGCAAAAAATCTCTGAATGAATTAGTAAACTGCATTGAGAAACAAAGATTGGTAAAATAATGGAATCCCAACATTTTTTTACCAATGCAAGGTTGCTGATTTGAGTGGCAATGGCCGCCGAATTCCTTTATGTACAGAACACCCTTGTTTAACAATTCCGGTGAACATTTTTCTTCATGGGAAACGGCAGGAAAACATAGCAGGGGCAACACATTTATAGCAGGAACTTCTTAAGACTGAATGGGGACAAAAAATCTCAACTTGTATGGGATGTGGGGAAATATAAACAGGGAACTGTTTTCACCAAGTGTGTTACATAGTGTTGTGATAGAAGGTATTACTTCATTAAATGTTACCCGAGTTGCATTTCAGGTTTAAAGTTGCTCTGAACCTAAATGCTTTAGTCAATTTGGAGCAGATGCAAATGATCTCTGGCTCCTCGCTTTGTTTCTGTGTTTTAAGTATGCTGTGAATCATTGTTTGTTCTGCATTGCATGAACCTCGGCGTGCTTTCTTTTTTGCGTCTGAAATATACCCATGCGAATCTATTCTTTGTCTAAAGTGGAAAGTATGTTTAGTTTAAAGTAGATATACGTCTTAAAGTGGTAAATATTATGCTATATGAACGCAAAATATAGAAGAAATTGCTCATTATTTTCATAATAAACACCATTGTCACGAATCAATGTTGCTGATGATGTAATTTAATGATATGATCCTTGATACCAACTCGTTTGATCACTGTAATCAACTTGATAATCATGATTGTAATCAATCCTCGCGATGCAGTAGATGCTGTTGCTTTTTCCTAGAAAAGGCATGTTTCCGAATAGCGACAATAGCAAGATTCTTGTAGAAATGTTTTTAGACGACAAGAACAAAGTGCCACCCGGTGGGAAAACATTAGCTAGACTAATTTTCACGTAATACAAGTCGGATTGTTTCACATTGTTAGTAGTAGTCTTCTATATGCTAAAAAACCTGTCAAATGTTTAAAGCTCGGAAGCTGTTTCAAATGCATAACAGTAACCGTTGCTATCGATCGAAAGAAATCAATTTTGCTGCTGAAGACCTAATGCACTCGTTTTTCAAAGCATGGAGGGCATAAAGTACGAAAAAATTGCAAAGGTTTGAGCTGCGGCCGTTTTTGTATTCGAGTTAATTGCTCAGTTTGATAAATTTTGACTTTCCCAGATGCTTCCGTTACGCCACTGGCCTATCACCATCATCACGATCAATATTATCAATGATCAAAGCATATGATTATCAAATCATTTATCAGCAATCATAAAGCATCATCAAAATCATAACGACCGGCAGCGTGTTGTGATACATATGGTAGATGCAGTAATATCTGAACCATAGTCCTATTGAATTATGACACGACGCCATATTGAATCACTGGAAAATGAATCACTTGAGCGAAACATAGATATAACATTTTGGTGGGGGTGCCTTAGTTTTACAACTAAGCTGCTCTAAACTGCGTTATGCCACTGTTATAGGCAGAGAATAATGTTTCCTTTGAGTCCAACCTTAACAAATCGCACCGATCAAGAGAACAGAAGTGATAATTTATTACAAAGTAACTAAGGCTTGCGATGTTTACTTTGTTTTGCTCCATTCATCACTCGACGAGAGTAATTATTTGCCGCGAGGCATTTGAAAATGACAATGCCAAGTCCAATCTTATATTTTACCGCTAACCACGCTATTTCATGCCTGAGGGTATAATGCATACCAAATGTTCTTGAAAAACATATTGTGTTGTTTTTAGTATTTTTGATTTCGCCTTGATTTCTAATCTATGGAAAATCTTATTCCTTACTTAACATAAAGAAACAAAAAACTCTACATTGTTTTTCACTTTGTAGTAGCCTGACATTGTTTATGCGTAAAGAAGGGCTAGTTGATCACGTTCTTGTCTTCTTTAGCTCAATTTACTTGCTTCTGTCTTTAGTTTAAAAACGCGATCATTTCTTTGCACTATTACCTCTTCAAATGTGATTCAAAATATGTGATTTCCAGGGTGTATTATTCTGAAATGGCAACAATTCGAAACGTTTTCGCGAGGACGTAGAAATTCTGATTGGTTTTCATTGAAAACAAAACACAGTCTTTTGAAAACTTCTTCGTATAGTCTGGGCCTTCGTGTCCCAAATTTTCTAGCAGAGATTCAAGTTGATAAATAAGCATTTTCTCATATAAAAGCCATGAAGATAACCCTTGTCGTTTGTTTTCAATCAGAGGCCTTATCTTTCTTTTCTCCTCACTTTCGTCACTCCAATTTGGCTGCGGTGTTTGCCTCTTGAAAAGCTTGAGTCTTTTCTCCCAATAAACTTATACTCTTCCGACTAGTAAATATTTACTGTTTTCTACTAAAATTAACAGCCGCTTAAAAGTGATTTAATTGAATTCTCGATTGCTTTCCACTTTGGCAGTATATATTTATTTTTATAACTTATTTCTGTTGATAATCAATCAATTCCGCGTTAAATTTCGTTTTACTTTTACTATCAGCATTTATTGTGTTGTGAGCACAGGTTGCAGAATTGCTTACTCAGCAAAAGCTAGTCCTTATTGCGTTGCTTTCATTCTTGCCTCAAGCCAAAGTGCAACAACAACAACATCAATAATATGAACAACAGCCACATCAACATTTAATTCTATGCCATATCATAGCAATCACAATGAACGAGCCAAGGTTCAAGTTTTTAGTTCGTTGCAAGCAAAGCTAAATTGCTTCTTGAGACGATTTTTTATCGAAAAGTTTTTTAGGGGTATAGAAAATCTTTATTTGCAAGCAGGGACGATTTATTTGATTTTGTTCGTTAGATCTAGTGTAGCATTCAACATCATATTAGCTCACACCCCCCCACCCCCACCCACCCCCCTTATCGCTGGTACCAACGTGTACAGTACATGTAAGGGATCATGCAATAGTTTTCTCAGATCTCAGGCACTTGGCCATGAATAATTTTGCCTTTATACCCAGTTATTTCCTCCTGATATTCAATACTATAGATGCTCCTGTTGCTACTATACATTTTAAGAAAGCATATTTTCTCATTTACTCTTCATTAATTATTGCTAATCCTTTGAATTGTTTTGAAAACGTCATTATCATGAAAATTCCTTATTTCTTTCCAGCTTGATCTCAAACCTCATGGCAGACTTCAGGTTCAAGTTAGGAGTTTCTCCGAGGTTATCGGTAGGTTGTCCTTTAATGTTTTTAACATTTGAATCCCACTTTTGATTTATGAGTAATCGATAAAACATTAGCGGCCAAATTGATTCCACTTTCCCACATCAGAAGGAGAGAGGCAACTTTTCACTCCCGAGAGCGAGAGAAACGCCACGAAAAGCAATGTTATTTGGCCTTATCTTGAATTGCCGGTATTCACCCACCCCTAGCCTCTATGAACGATTGATAACATTTCATACTCCAACAAATATTTATTTGGAGTCAATGTGTCACAGTTTCATTGACGACAGTAGGATGCAAAAGCCGCCATATGACGTCACCTGTTCTTCTCTTTCGCCGACTTCTTTTCCCCGCAGTTTTGTTTTCATTTTATTTTTCTACCTTTTCTTTGATCGCGGCGGATCTTGGCACATTTCATAAATTTCGCTAAATTCAGCCAATTTTGCTACGTAACTCCGCGTGTTATAGAATATTACATTTGAAAAATTTCTGTACTGTACCGAATTGACATCACTTTATTGTTACGTGTTACCCACTGGATTTTTCTTTGAAACCTTATTGATTTATCAAAGGAATTCCTTGAATATTTTTATATCAAGTAACCATTTTCCAAAGCATTGAATTTGCTCCCTCAAAAATACAACCTTCAAGAAAAAATAACTTTTAACTTCGAGAGTTTTATATCTCAACAAGGTTCAATAAATATGTATTTATATTCTGAGTGACCATTGTAATCGGTCATATAAAGTAGTTCAATGCAATTCAGTTCTGTTTACTTTTCTTTTAAAATTCACTACATACACTATATGCATATAACCAACTTGACTACACATCAACTACGCTCTTTTTTTAACAGAATAATTTTATAAGAACACGAGTCTCAAAATTGTTCTAACGTTAAGAACAAATTAAGAGCAAGCTGAGGCTGAGGTACTGTAAAAAGCAATTTTGAACAGAGTTTAAACACAAAAACGAGGACTTTTTGGCCATGCGTATGTGCTTTTTCAGTGAATATTCAAACTTGACGGCAAATGAAGGTTGTCTCACTCACTTTGTTGGAAAATGAGGCTCGAAATCTATTAATTTAAGAACAAATTAATAACAATCCAGCCAAATATTCTCGAAAAAAAATAAGAATAACCAGCCTGAATATCAATTAACTGGTTCTTTTAAAAAAGAGTGTAACGAAATAGCGCTATGATACAATGCTACAATTTTGTTTAAAAATAAATTTAACAACATTAAACATTTTTAGGGGAATTCGTATACAAACCATTTCTCAAAGAGGAGCTTTTTGGTTTGATAAACTAATCGAAGAGAGAGCTACCTCTTGCTTTAAGCATAAGTTTAGTCTTTTAGCTAGCAATAAGATTTTATGAGATGTCATTATTCACCTTAGTACTGACAATGGTATATGCTCATTTATGAGCAGGCTGACTAGTCAAATGGAATATCCTCTAAGCAAGTAAGTTAGAGCCATCAAAAGCAAGCAGAAACATGGCGCACTAAAAGGCGGTAGATCTTAGATTAAAGAGCTTTGTGTCATAAATATTTGTGCCATGCTCTCTGGCTTTGTTGCCGTCGCCCTTTGTGGTGTAGAAAAGCCTCCGAATATTTTTCCGCCTCCACAGTAATCGCGATTGATCCTTAACTTTGTTTATTTCCGCACTTTGCCGTTTTGTTCGTCACTTTCCTGTCGCAAAGTTTCATTGTTAACCATCGCATTTATGCGTTGATATGCTGATAAGATGCATGTTTTTGTGGAAAATCCACTGAAAAGAAATCTTCTAATACTTCAATTAGAAAATTCAGAACTTAAGATTTCTCATGTTAGAACGATTTTATGTCTACAGTGAGTAAACGAATGTCTCTAGTTCAATACTGTTTTAAGAACCTAATGAATCATCAAAGTAAGACATTAACAACGTCTTAATCAAACTTTTTATATGGTTCAAGAGTCGTTTATGGGTATTTAAAAAATATGAATAGTGGTGAAGCAAAATCGGTCCGCACCTGTTTTTACATTGAACTTCCTTTTAACAAACCGGCTCCTGAGTTGACAAATCAAGACGAACAATAGTTCTGATCAACTTAAACCTTAACATTCTGCTTGAAAATGGCTCGTTTAAAAATGGAATGGACATAAAAATGGAATGGACATAAAAATGGAATGAACATAAAAATGGAGTGGGATAAATGGATTTTTTTCGACGAAAAGGCACGAATTTCCTGTTCAATTGACATTGGCAATAGAGAGAAGAACTCCTTGAGGCTGGTTAGATGCTCTGTTTCATATTAATTTATGTTTCATTCTTTTCTTCTGAATAGAAGCTTTTTAGCAGTTGATATGTAAGAAACCTTTAAAAAAATTTCAGAAAAAACCATTAAAAAAATATGTGACTGAGAACATAACCAGATCCAGGTTTTTTTCATGAAAAATGCTTGTACAGCAAATCAGTCTGGAAAAAATGTTTTTTTTGTGTGTTGAAAATATTTTACATTTCGTCTGTTCCTATTCCAGTCTAGATCTATTCCAATGTCAAGTTCAGATTCATTTTCGTTTTATTGCATCAAATGTCCCAAACTTTGATGGATTTGGACTCCAAATATCTACACTCATTTTTTTATGAGAAACTGGCTATAAGAAACGAATACTGGGCAGACAGAAAAAATTAAGAAATTTCAGTACTCGAAGCAAAAAAGTTAAGAAACTATTAAATCGTTATAAAACGAAATTTTGTAAAATCCAAGAACATGATTGCCCTGTTGGCCTTGAACTTAAGACAAGGGATAAAAATATACTTCCCACATCTAAGTACAGCATCAGAGCGGAAGCGAATCTCTTGACGTGATAAAAAAGGTCACGAATATTTCATAACATCGTTCATCACATCAAAATTAAAAAAATATTAAGAAACAATGAGTATTGAAATTTCCAGAACATTAAGAAACGGGAGTACTCAACATCGACCTTTGTTTCTTATAAAAGAAATGAGTGTATACGAACACTTAGAGTTTGGTGAGGAATTGCGTCATTGTGTTACTACACTTGAAACCAAAACTTTAGATGTAGCCTCGGGTGGTTTTGCAAGAGGCTGCTGTATGTGTTATATTTCAAGGTACAATACTCTATTGAAGGCTCAGAAGTTGTTTTAAAGCAGCGATGACTACATAACGCCTTCCCTTGCTTGATTGTTCATTATTTCTTGTGCGGATGTTTCCCTTTCTGGGGGCTTCAGTTCCCTTTCCACGTGGGTTCTGCCAATATGTCAGCGATTTTAAGTACGTCTTTCCTTCTTATTTTGCTTGGAAAGAGAATTCTGTGCTTTCACGTACAACCGCAGAGGAGCGGTAACACAGCAGTCACGCGAAAATTAGAAGGTGTTGCTCCCGCCTACAATGTTTGTTTTCGTGAATTCTAGACTACTTTGATTTCAATCACGTAAGATGGTCTTTTTCCTGAACAATTCGGAATCACATTGCAATTTCAGCGATTACAGTCTATAAGGGAGAAGGCAGGCCTGGGAGTACAAAGGCAATATAAATGTTCTTGCATAGATTGGTGTTGACAGTGATGGACATTATTGGGGTTTGGGGAGTAACTGACCCACCCCCCCCCTCCCCTCCTTCCACTTGAAAGAACTCGGCAAATGAACTGCAGAAATCAGAATTTTTCTGAATAGGATAAAGAAGAGGGAAGACCGTGCTAAAAAGAAACTCAGAAAATTTATCGGCCTTGCCTCACTTCTCAAAAAGTTGTCCTTCTGCTACAGGGCCGTGATATTTCTTCTTAATCTCCGGGCGTTGTCGCTGCTTTGGTGTGTGTCTACCTGCTTCAGTTTAAAATGGCTGATACACCACACTTAGTGTATCAGCGTCCAATGTTTCTTATTTTTCTTATTTGAGCATTTATATTCTTGCAACTAGCGATTATTTCATCTACATTTCTTATGCTCAGCAACAACATATATAATAATAATATGATAAATAATTTGTTTATAGTTAGCGTACTAGATGCTTGGGACTCTCTATACTATGAGGTAGTGTTTGCTACAGCTTTTATCATAAATACCTCACAGTTTCTATATCATAAGAAATTGTCCTGGATTTTGGAACGCCAAGAGCATTTTTATTCCGCAAATCAAAATGTACATTTCTTGCTTCAAAAGTCTCACTCATGAAACTAGGGTTAAGGTTATGTCTGGTTTGGTATATTTCTAACGAAAAGTACTGTAGATTGCGTTGGTGAATGGATACTGCATTATCCAATGTCAGCAATGCTTCGTAGTCGGCATAAACATGCACTGGATAAAGATTCCCGCCATTTATTAGTAGCTAAAATCTGTAATAATTGACGGTAGTTGTCTATTTATTAAAAATGGCCTAAAGTTGATTGCTACTTCGGCATATTTTTGCAATGTCATAAACAAATCAAGTTGATAATTGGAATAAGAAGCAGAGGGTCATTTGAATTAACCGAAAGGTTTTCAGACTTTATCGCGATCTTGCTTCGTAGTTCACTTTTTCTGCCGTCCTTAGGATGCATAATAACCCTTTGGCTTTGGAATCTTCGGTCAGTAGATCAGGATTGTCCATAGAATTACATTTCATGTGACTATGAGAAATGTTTTTGAAAAATTTAAAGCAATGCTTGCAGAAAAAATGCTTTTTGTATATTTTAATGTTCTAGAATACTGTTACTAAGATTTGATCTTTATATCTATTATAATTTGATTTGATATATTATTGTCTGATATATTAATTATCATTTAACTTCAAAATTATGAGCTTTTAACTTGGCCCTCTGTGAAACAGATCTTAGGGGCCATCTTGCATCAATTTCTAAAAATGAACGAATAAATTAAGCGATCTGTTTCTACGAATCAATGTATTCTGGGGGTCTACTTTGTCCATTTTCATAATTTAGACTTTTTTGATGAGGCTCTTGAAAATGTATCTAGTAAATAAAATTAGGTAAATAAAAATCTAAAGTGCATCTGGTCTTACGAGAGCTTTTTAAATAAACCCATTTATTCTCGAAGTCACTAACGGAAACCCGGCCGTTTCTATAATTACAACCGATTCATGCTTACGAGAGCTTCTACGGTATCTTTTAAAAGCAACTACCTTCAGATCTGTCATGTCGTTGACTAAAGGATGTAAAATTGGTACAAGGAAGAAGAGTAATTTGTGGTTAACAACTGCTCAACTTGATACAATGTATCCTCGTGACATGAACTCTAAACTTGATACAGTGTATCCTCGTGACAGTAACGGATCCAGAAACTTTATTTGGTTTTGAATGAAGACTGACATCTTTCATGAAATTTAGAAAAAATCTTCAGTCTTCTTATAAGATTGATATTGCATATCATAGCTTGCCATTTTATGGGGAGGGGGGGCTTCTTCCCCATAGCCTGCCTTACTTATGTCCCTATGATTTCAATGTATTCATTAGAAACAAAATATTGAAGTCTTTTTTCGTTGTGATCCCTGGAACGGAAGGGGCTACGTCATCTACGCGGAACTTATATTCCTGAGAAGGCCCGTTGTTTGCACGCGGAAGCTATTATTCGGTTAATTTCGTTCATTCAACTGCCCTTAATCTATTAACAAACAAAAACGCTTTACCGAAACCGGACTTCCGTTAGTGAATTCTTAAAGGAGAGGGTTTATATTTATACAACATTAATTTAAATCAGCAAAAGATAACAAGACGTACATTTTTAGAGCTCTATCCAATCAACCCGTGTAAAATAAATGCGAGCAAATACAAACGAGCACGGAGCGCAAGATCTTAATTTAATCATTTAATTACCAGTTTCTGGTGTGATCCGTATACAGTGTGATTGTAGTTTGCGGTGGATTTGTTGTGCAAAGCTCGATCAAGAATGAAGACTGTTATATATTATTCCACCGGGATCATTGATCAAACCCTGTTTCCTAAAGAAAAGACTTCTGTCCGTTTTGTAGACGATCCAAACTCTGCTTTCGATGGACGAAAAGCCAACAAGAGTGGACTACAGAACCGTCGAGGAGCGTTGCGAAAAGCTAAGGTTCATGAAGTCAGAGGGCATGAGTTTCTTGCCAAATTTTTTCGACAGCCAGTTTTTTGCTCTGTTTGCAGGGAGTTCTGCTGGTAAGTCCATTTTTTAATAATTTGATAATTATTATCAATATTTTTGCTAAATAAAGTACTGGAATGTAGAATGTTATTTTGCAGATATTGCAACAATTAAGCACATTTCAACTACAAACAACAAACTTTCAGCAAACTGTTCTTAGCCCCTTTAGATAAAGTTTCTATACCTATTTTGTATAGAATGGGATTTATAACTTCAGCCATCACCTCCCTTCATTCTCGATCCAAGCTACCAGAAACACACCATCTGAATGTTATTATCATTATTATGAATGTTAACTTCTTCAAAAATGACGTCATCTACGTAGCACTACTTGTCTGTAAACCACAGTTGTGTATTGTAACCTCGTTATTTGCTACACATAAGGTCATCACAATTGTTAGCAAGATTGAAGAATAGAGTTACTCATATTTTCTTTATTCGAAACGCAGCTCGAGCATGGCTAAAATATCTACAAATCTCGCATTGGCGTCATATACATACCTTTGTCAAAAGTTAACCTCTGATTTGAAATCGTCGTGTTGAAATTCGTATATAATGAAAATTCCATTTTGTATGGACATTCAGGTCGCGAGTACCCTTTTTTACTGCAGCGGGAATTTCAATTGAAATTTACATGATAAGCTAAATTTTGAAAATGGCGTAATTCGTGGTCTGACTGTCCTAGAAGCATGAAATTTTCGCCATAAAAACGTTCTACATATATATTCCAATTCTATTGTCCATTTTGGCAAATATGAAGATAAAAAATTGACAACGCTACCTCAAAAGAATCGAATTTCACTGTTATGCTAGAGTATGGCGTATTGAAAGCCTAAGAAGCCGACGCTGTAGTCTCGAATTCATCTAATCCAGTTTGAAAAAAAGCCACTAAACATTAGCGCGTTCTCTCTCACTCATTTTTTGCCCGTATTTTCTGCTTCTGTTGCTACTCTATTTCCTATAGGGCTCTTGAACCATCTTTTCGTCGTGAAAAACAGTTACGTCGTGTTCTTAGAAAACATCTCAGAAATCCACGTCACATTGCTTACCTGCCTTCCTTATTTTATGAAAGGTGGGGTTTCTCGCGAGACTGAATCAGTACTTGTAGATATTCTTCTATAGTGAATTTCAGTGCTCCTCCCACTTATTTTTCTATTTATCTGTTTGCAAAATGTTTTTAACGAGTTTGTGTTCCATTTCTCCCAAGGGGTTTTGGCAAGCAAGGCTACCAGTGTACCGGTATGTATATCCAACAAAATCAATACGTTTTGATCGTTGGAACTTTCATCTCATATTTCGTTTGTTTCCTTGTAATTAGATGCTCGCATAACATGCAAAATTCTAGTCTCTGTTCTCGTATTTTGTCAAATCTGCTATGTATACTGTCAATCTGCAACACTGCTTGCTGTATTTTGGGGGGAATTTTGCGCTCCTTTTAAAAGCTTTTTTTGAAATTTTCATCTCATATTTCGTTTGTTTCCTTGTAATTAGATGCTCGCATAACATGCAAAATTCTAGTCTCTGTTCTCGTATTTTGTCAAATCTGCTATGTATACTGTCAATCTGCAACACTGCTTGCTGTATTTTGGGGGGAATTTTGCGCTCCTTTTAAAAGCTTTTTTTAGTGATTTCGTTTGATTAACTATGTATTTTCTTAATATAAGTTATATCCAATATTTCCCAATTCAGAAAAAATATCGGTTAATGCACCTAAATACTAAAGAAGACACCATTGTGCAGTCTTTCAGGGCCTGTTTCGTGACCACCTCTTACTTTTGTGTCCCTAACCCTAATATTTCATGCATTATCATTTTCTTCCAGCATGTTCCTGTGTGGCGCACAAGAAATGTCATGATAAAATTTTAAGCAAATGCCCAGGAACCGCCCAAAACACTGGTGATACTATTGTAAGTGTACAAAAATTTGTATTGATTTGAATTTTGCTGGTTCAGGATTAACGCCCACGCATGGTCCTGAAAAATGAGGAACTTAGAAGACAAAAATTATAAATAATAGTCCCTTTAATCTAATGAGGCGATAGCCTAGGATTGTGTTTTTATTAGTAGTTAACACAATGTAAAAAGGCGCATTTGTTATTTGTATTATATAAAAATGTTATATAGCAGGAATATTAGACTCGAATGTTTTCAAACAAGCAAATTTATCAAACAAGTTGCCAAACAAGCCAATTTTTTAGTCAGAGAAATGTTTTAGTATTTACGAAACATGGGAAATCCCTCGTGATACGTGATTGCAATGTGAGGCTCTAGACATATTGCAAAACTTTTATAGAATTTTTTCCTTAATTTTCTTTTATGCCCCATAATAACATCATACTTTAGCTACAGCCACCCAGCCCCCTCCCAGCCCCCTCCCAGCCCCCTAGCCTCACCGGCTCCCTGATTTGCTAGGAAGTATGATCTAGGAAATGCCAGCTAAACCAGATTCCTGGAAATATCAGATTTCCAGAAATAAACCTGTTTCGAAATCGGTTTGCCAACATTTGTAATTCAAAACTCTTTGTTTACTATTGGTGTAGATAGGCTAGTGATGATGTAAGTGGGACGTCACTGAATCCTTTTACAAATTCTGTTTTAGTGAAAGTAGTTTTGAGACTTCCCGGAAGATTTCGCTTTTATCTACGATCGCGTCATCACTACCGCACTCATTTTGCTGAAGCCGTTGATTTGAATAAGCACATATATTAGTCATTCACAAATTTCTAAGACCAGAGACCCGACCTTTATCCCTTTCAAATGGGGATGCCTCCAACCTGTATCCACTATCCCTATTTTGTCCCTTGGCCAAAGTGTACACAAAATTTTCATGTATTTTTTTCATGATATGTTAAACATTTTATCATTATTTTCAAATGTTTTTCCTGTAGCAACTCAAAGAGCGATTTAATCTCAACATACCACATCGGCTAAGAGTTTACAACTATATGAGTCCAACTTTTTGTGATCACTGCGGTAGTTTGCTGTATGGTTTGTTCAGACAAGGGCTTAAATGTGAAGGTAATATTTTGTTACTTCAAAAATTGCAGTGAACATTTTTCAAACCTGTGTTTGCCTAAGATGGCTTTAAATATATAAGACAATCCCCCTTCTCTCCCCCCCCCCCCTACCTACAAAGAGAAAAGCTTGCATTTTTCAGTATTCTCTAAGAAACATGCCAAAATGAAGTTATTAATTCAGGACGTTTTTGAATTGGGGCTTATCCGAGAAGTTGCTTAAACGAAGGAAAGGGTCATTCGACAATTTACTGTATTAACTTTTCATTAACTTTAAACAGTTTTTTGGCGATACAAAACTTGAAAATGGCTTTGAAAAAGCAAATATTTCACAAAAAACTAATAGCTTTTTCGTTTGAAATTCCTCAGAGGATTAAACGTCAGAATAAGGCACCGAAATAACACAATTGAATATATATACCCAATTGTGTTTGCTATTTTCAAAGCCATTTTCAAGTATTTACTTTCAAGTCATATGGATTGTAAATTTGCCTAGAGTAGAGGTTGTTTCAAGTCTTGTAACTCTTGCCGATCGTAACAGTATCATATTCCTAAAGAAACTTATCTTAATCTCTATCTTCTAGCTTGTTCTAAGAACTACCATCACAAATGCAAAGACAAGGTGCCTAATCTGTGTGGCATCAACCAGAAACTCTTAGCAGATGCGCTGTATTTGGCTGAGGTAATTCATCACACAAACGAATCATTCACTTTATTTCTATCTCACGTGCTTTGCAGATATTCAGATAATAAACATGCGTAGATAACAACATAGGTGCGGGTTGATTCCACTGTAAGTAGCAACAGTCTTGAATTCTGCAATATTCTATAACAAGCACATGCATTTGGTGGTCATGTTTTTATTCATCTTGTTACTTCGAACGATAATAAAAATATATTTTTAGTATCACTAAGTATCAATCTAAATGTTTAGATTAACAGTTTACAGATTAGCGTATAAAGCCTCCCAACTACTGCCTAAGAGACCAATACTGCCTGAATTTGTTGTTAACGTATAAATATATTTTTAACCGCAAGAATGCGTTTGGAAAAATCTTGTGCCCATACAATAAGATTAGCCACCGAACAGTCTTTGGAGTCAAATTGTCCATGAAGAATTAAACTAGAAAAATTCCTTAATAACTGTTTTTAGCTTTGATAGTTTATATTTGCTTGTATGCCCCTTTTATCTTTTTATTTTCTGACTGGAAAGTGTTTTGCCACTTCAGGTAGAAAAGAAGAAGAAAGAGACCTTAAGCGAGATGAAAAAAGATGGGGCATCTGCAGATGAGAGCAGCCCCATGGACGAGGAAGAGAGTCTATACGAGGCTGTTTGGGAGGCGATTACCCCTGCGCCGCCGCGTAGAACCACCAGTCTGCGAAATGAAAGCAGAAAGAGAAGATATGATAAAAACGATTTCAACTTTCTTAAAGTTCTTGGGAAAGGAAGCTTTGGCAAGGTATGTTTAGCATCTAGTTTAAGCAATGTCATGGACTACGTGCACGTAATGTTGTGTCTACCCCAAGTCAAAGGCCGCCGGTGTCGAATTTGTTGAGAACAGTTAGAACAGCAAGGCCGACGTCCAGTATGTTGAGCACATACAATGTTTTTGTTGTATAATCTTTCTTGGTTCAAATCTTTTTTATAGCAGATTCTCATTAGTGTTCTTTAAAACATTTTAGGTAGTGACTCTTTTTAATTGTTCTTTTTTAGGTCTTGTTAGCAGAACTGAAGGGCACAAAAACCGTTTACGCTATCAAAGCCTTGAAGAAGGACGTTGTTTTGGAAGATGATGATGTTGAATGCACCCTCATTGAGCGAAGAGTTCTGTGCATTGCAACCAGGCATCCCTTCTTAACTCACCTTTACTGCACCTTCCAGTCAGAGGTAAGTGTCTATACATTTGATACAATTTTTTGAATTGACATTCCAACAATCATTTTGATCAAAGGTCACTCATCATCTTTATCACCGCTGTTTATTTAGAGTTCTAACGCCACCCACAACACCCAAATGCAAATGGTATTGTCCTATCCAAGTCAGTTTTAAAGCAATGTCAAATAGCTTTCAAATGTTTGTGATTAAGTCTTTCAAGATAAATGTTCACCTGGTATTTTTGCATAGAGAATCAAGAGTTAAAGTTGCTTGTTTTTCTTCAGACACATTTGTTCTTTGTCATGGAGTATCTAAACGGTGGCGATCTGATGTTTCACATTCAGTCATCTGGGAAATTTGATGAGAACAGATCAAGGTAAGAAGTTTTCAGTCATCCACACCATCGTCATTTTATGACAACATCCTCATCATCTTCATCAAGCCATGAATCTAAATTGGTTCCCCCGTTGCCCCTCCTTGATCGCATTAATTCCTTCTTCATTAGCAAAGAGAACGGCTTTATTTACATAGAGCAACATCTAGACATTTTCTGCTTTATAGATCTCCGTAAAGTCTAAAATTTGAAGATATCTGTTATAGGTAGACTGAGCCAATAATTCAAGGAATGGAATGATGTATTTCGTTCTAATCTGTTCTATTTTATTTCTATTCGCTCCTACATCACGTGCGTCTGTTTTTTTCAGATTCTATGGAGCAGAGATCGTTTGTGGATTGCAGTTTCTTCACAAGCAAGGAATCATATACAGGTAAGCATGCAAACATTTTCCTCTAATTTTGAGTAAACATCCTACCCTTGTATAAAATTTGTCTAGTAACTTTATCTAGACGATATGGACTTAAAGAAAACACATCAATAAATTACTAAAAATTATGTCATTTTCGTTTGATTGTATTTTTGCAGAGATCTGAAGCTCGATAATGTACTGCTTGATCGCGATGGTCACATAAAAATTGCAGATTTTGGAATGTGCAAGGAAAACATAAGAGACGGCAGCAAGACAAGCACTTTCTGCGGAACACCGGATTACATTGCTCCCGAGGTAATAAACCAGTACCTAGCTTGTTCGCTTGGGACACTTTTTTACGAAAATGCATACTTTTTTGTCGGCTTGCGTCCGCCGAAAAGTGATGGAAGGTAGCAAAATTCTAAAACATATAGACTGTTGAGAAGATTTCCAAACTGGAGGCATTTAAAATAACATCCACTGCCTTTTTCAGTGTGGACAGAGACAAAAGAGACTTTCAAGACAGAAGACCTAAAAACGCATCAGTTTAATAAATATGGCCTAACATATAGCTGCGAAACTAGGAAATTCGAATAGGACAACCCAATTAGCCTCGTGCCATACACATCGAGGAGTTTTTTCGACTGTATAAGCGAATCACAGGTTGCCTAGGGTCAGGGAACCATCTCCTACCAATATGGCAATACATGATCTCTATCCGTATTCGCTATGTCCGCCAGTTTATTAATGGTTTAGTTTGTTAATCACTCTTCATGTTTTTCCCTTGGTCACAGATTCTGAAAAGCCAGAGGTACGATTCAGCCGTTGACTGGTGGTCTTTTGGAGTTCTGCTTTATGAAATGCTTATTGGCCAGGTATATTTTGCGTGTTCCTTTTTTCAACAACCTTATTTCTAAAACAATACGTTAATCACTTAAATTACACTCTTTTTATGTATGAGTTTTTCTGAAAATCCAAATACGAAACCTTATTTGGTGTGATGCGTAAGGTATCTAATATAACATAGCATCACAAACATAAACCCACAAGAGCATTTCAAATGGTACTGTCTTATCCAAATTTCAAATCCAAGTTTCAAAGCAATGTCAAATAGCTCTCAAATGTTTGTGATTAAGTGTGTCAGGCTGAATGTTCTCCTGGTATTTTGTGTGGAGAGTCAAGAGTTCAAGTTGCTTGTTTTCTATAAATTTTCTTTTAAATGCACTTTCACCCCAAAAAAATTCATAACCATTATAAATGTCGGACATCATTGTCAAATGATGATTCCTGCAGTTTGTTGGCGCGGAGGCTTGAAGTACCCTTCTCTCGCTTCTCATAATGAAGTCTTGTCAAAGCGCTCTCGAATTTCTAAAGCGTTACATTAAATTGCCAAAACACTTATAGCACTTCTTGAATGAGTAAGTCTCTGAATTCAAGGAAACATTCTAGGGTGGTAAAAAGAGACGACGCCCAATTTCATCAACTTTGTCACAAAGCAGGCCGCTTTGCTTGGTGAATTACTTGAAACACCTCATTAAGATGCTTTGTATTTAAATGGAACGCATTCTCCGCCACAAATTCCCGATGACTCGGCAATTAGTCGGGCTATTCAATTCTCTTTTTGTTATGAGCTCAAAAGGCTAAATAAAAATTTTATTTATCAAAAAATGTTGATCTCAGGTGGAGCTTAGGTAGAGACGCTGAAGCGCCTCTTTTTTGCCAGGAGCTTATCAATAACTTGTTTTTTTTCTTCTAGTCGCCATTTGCCGGTGAAGATGAAGATGATTTATTCAGGTCAATTTGCCGCGATCGGGTTCTCTTCCCTAAGTGGATATCTGAGTCTGCCTCGAATGTTTTAACTCAGGTATATATTTATTTCATATATTTATTTTCATCTTTATATTGTTTATATTTATGTTTGTTTATGTTTATATCTGTGTATTTAATGCATGTGCATAAAAGTGTGTACGTGAATTTCTTCGCTTCGCTAATTAAAGAAGAACGCAGTGCGGCGAATACAGAGCCAAGACGAACCAAGCTGAGCCAAACCAAGCCGAGCCAAGCCGAACCAAGACGAGCCAACACCGGCGTAGGAAACTCTGAGCTTCAATGCTTATTATTAATTCAGATATCTAATAAATTCTAGAGTCTAAATAGAGCACGCAGAAGCGAAAACCAGTATGGTAGAACTGTTCATCCTTCGATTATGAACGTCTGGTTACTGGTAGTTGATGTCCGAGTACGGACGAATATTTAAGTGAGGGGGAGAACGAAGTGTTTGAATGGTTCCGTTCCTTTGATTGGAGTGTCTGAATAATGACCCAATCAGCGACCGCTATCCTATTGAATTGATGAAAGGGCCCTAGAGAGAAAACGAACTGTGGAATGGGAGCGTGTTGCCCCTTTTCCGTGATTTTTCAAAGGTATACTTTTCTAGAATCGGATGATGAATGTTCTTAAATTAATTCGTGAAATTCTTCTAAGTACCGAATGATAGTTAAAAGAAGTACCAAAAGTCGCTAAAGAAGACGCGACTCTTAACTACTGTTTTCTCTCGTGGCATAATTAAAGGTCTATTTATTTGAATGCAACTAGATGTAGCCAGAGATGACGTAAAGGCAATTTGTTGCCTCTTCAAAATTTTCAAAACTAGAAATTTTGGAGCTCGATATAATGAATAACCATGGCTGTTTTAACATCTAGCTTTTGGAAAGAAACACGGCCCTTCGTCTTGGATATGTCGGTGGTACAAGACATCAAATTCGAAGGCATCCGTTCTTTAGTGCTGTTGATTGGGTGAAACTCGAAAAGAGACTAATCAAGCCTCCCTTCCGACCAGACGTGGTAAGCCTAGAATTCACTATCTTTGATATAATGCTTCTTCAATACGGAAATTCAGCACAGAAGTTCGCTTCTTTGCATCCGTATGTCTAATTCGGATTTTTTATATTTATACGCGAATACAAATTCTTACTTATGCATAAATATAAACTTTTGTCTTTAATACTCATTCCAGCCCGGAAAAAATTGGTGCAATAAACGCATCTAGAAACGTGTTAGATCATATAGAAGTTTGTCTATGTCCGTCCTAGACGGTTGATGGCAGCTAAGCATTTTTCGTAATATCTGGAGTCGTATGAACCTGTATTATTTACTTTTTGTAGAAAGGAGAAAGTGCTGTTAATAACTTCGATCCAGATTTCACAATGGAGCCAGCCAAGCTGACCCCGGTCGAAGATGATCTTCTGAAGTCAATGGATCAGATGCAATTTAGAGGCTTTTCTTTTATCAACCCAAATTTCAAAGGAGGACTGGCGTAGCTTCAGAGTTTGTCAACAAGCTAGGATATATCAGTCTGTTTTTGTTTATCACGAGCATAGCTTGATTGGACAATCGTACTTGTTTCTGTAAATAAAACTGTATCGTCGTCCGTGAATGCATATTGCAAACTCTGTACCAAACAGGGACCTTTACGAAGGTATATTTTAATTACGTTGATCTCTTTGTCGTTTGTTTGATCACTCTCAAGGTCAAATAAATACTTGCAACGAGGCCGTTTCGAAAGGCCTCCACACTATTCGCGTCAAGTATTTCCTTAATTTTCGAAGAGTTTTTTGGAATCTGTAACGAGGTATTGACTATCGTTATTATTTATAGCTTGTAAGAATTACATTATGATTTTAGGTCCCCAAATTTAAAACATAGTTTAAAAATAGCAATATCAGCCCTTTTAATTCCTATGGAGTGCTTTTTTCTATAAAGCTTTTTTGTCAGTAATTTTTTCCTCGTATTGAGCCAACCCTAAAATTATATAAAATCGTGAGTAATTTTCACTCATCAAAGAATGCCTTATTGTGCATTTTTTGATATTTTTAGATAAATGGATTTTTTTTGACGTATTGGCATGGAGATTTTTACTGCTAATGGTACCAGCCTGCACTTTGCGTTAATTAATACTGGTCGTTTTATTAAATGTTGTCCAGCCAATCGTTCTCTGGTCTGAATAGATAATTTTCAATAGTAAAATGTCTTTCTGTCTTGTTTTATAGATTGTAACCAATCTGTTCTATATTCAGGTTGCCCTTAGCTGAACTGGTTGATATCTACTGACAAGTTTTGGTAATTTTGAATTTTGATATCCAGAAATACTCAGAGAAAGGTTGTTAAGTCAATAACCATAAAAATTATCGAACAGCCTAGATTATTGCCTTTTGTAAAATAGCCAGTCTTGAAGAAAACACCTATTTAACAGCCCAGGAAAAAAACTGCAATCTGTTTTCCGATACTGCATGGAAACAAATTTAATTAATTGAGAATCGATCCAACCTTCGGCTTGATGCCAGCCTGTGAATTAGATTCATGCAACTAATTAGTTCCTTGTCAATGTATTACCGTCCGAAATGATGTAAATAATGTGTAGTTTAGGGGTTTTGCAATAATCTGAAATCTTCTTGTTATTAAGGTACTTATCTAAGATTAATTAGCCTATTGTTGACCTTTTTCGGATAGATCTGTGTTTTCGTATTAGTCAGCAACTGAAATGGAAGATATGTTTTTTCTCCGTTTTTGCTGCCTCTTTCAAAACATAAAAGCTGTTCTTGCACCTTTCTCAACCCATGAACTATGCTACCAAAGGCCTTTCTCAACCTGTAAAGTAACAACGGAGGTTTTCCGCACAAAAAATACAGTTCTGCGTTGATGAAATGACTGCCTATAACTTATTTCCATTGACGTGAATTCGCTCTCGTTTAGAATATTCTTGTTGACTGTTGCCAAAGTCGCCACACCCCGTACTTTTGCAACACTGCCCAGGGTGGCCCAGGCAAGGCTATCATGTGCCATTTCGAATTAAAACCAAATTTAAACTATGGGACAAAACTCATGAAAAAAGAACTTACGAATATTGCTTAGGATCTTCCATTTGTCTAAACTTTCTGGCCAACCTTAGAATGGCACACATTATTACAGTAGTCTCTCCAATTAACGGACACTTTTAAAGGCGGACACCTCTGATTAGCGGACAAATTTTTTCCCCGATCGTTTTCTGGTCAAAGTCTCATATAAAACATTCTAAAAAGCGGACATTAATTTGCGGACACTATAATTAATGGACAATATTTTTGCACAAAATAGTCAATTTGGCTTTTTTTCCTACCAATTAGCGGACAGTACAAAAAGGTAGGAGCCAGCGAACAAAAAACTGAGGCGAATGAATATTTGTTCAAATATTCATTTCAAACACTTTGACACTTGACAATCTAGTTGGCTTTTCACAGCTTCAAGCTTCTTTACAGTCCAGTTTACTAACTTTTCTTGTCCGCGAAAGTGGTAAATTACTGGAATCTCCAGACCATAGCTACCTCCGCGATTCAACCTCTTTCCAAAAACTTCAGCTGTAATGTAAGTGTTTGGCACTTTCAAGAATAACAAGCATATTTTTGAAATGTTTTGTGGCACGTGTCAAACAACAAAAAACAGTCAATTAAAGATAGAACATACAGTATGGCAAATAAACATTTGCTTGCAAATTTTGCGTTCGTTAGTTGATATTACATATGATGTTAATATTCATTCTTGTTGTAAAAAAAGTTGTGTCACGTTCAATTGGGTTATTTTTTCTTTTTCAAGCGTCTAAAGGCCAACCTCCATTGGGCGAAATTTTTCGCTCATTCGCCAACGAAAGGTTATGAGCATGCGTATTTGAATTTTTGCGTTTCCTGTGCTGTGCTCGACGTTTGCCTTGAAAGTTCAACTATTTGAACATTTTTCTCTGTACACTTCTCGAATTTGACGTCTTATGTACATATAGCAAAATGTCTGAGTCCAAAAGCAGCTTCGTGTTAGATGAGAACATAATAAAATTTCTTGTTACAAGTACGTTACATTTTTCTTTTATAATCCTATCAACAGTTCTGGGGCTAATCTTATAGCTCATGCCAACTGATACATGCGAATCACCAGAAATAAGGAAAGAGTCACACATAGTTCTTTTTAGCACCTATTGGTTGGCGAAACTCCTATTCCTTCACTAAATATGGAGCCATCAAAAACAAAAATAGCTCAAATTTTGCATACGAAAATAAATAAAAAATAGTTGGTGGTCATATAATTGTAGATCTATAACCAGATTTTTGCAAGCTCCTAGCTCTTGGTAGAATTTACGTACCCAAAACCTTTTATTTGCTTTTTGGCTTCTTTGTTTCTTACTCTTCAACAAATAAAGCAAAATCAGAATATTTGTATTCTCATCCGACATCTTGAAATTCTTCTTTCTATTTGGCACGCAAAGCTATTGTGAGCTGGAGATTGTGCGCCATGTAGTTTTCGCTTTTCGTCAGCGCAAAGGCGAAAAAATTTCATCTAATGGAGATTGGCCTTAAGTTCCACACGATAGCCACTAATTACCCAGATTACAGTGGCGGAAATTATGGGGGTTTGGTGGGGCTCGGATTCTTCGGATTCTTCAAATAAATATTATTTTCAAACGTATTTCCAACTGACGAAAACAAGATAAAATGCATAAAATGAACGTACGATTTGTCAAAAGTGTAATCGGTCGACCTCTTATACCATCAATTGTCTTAGATGAGATATCGATCTTGATATCAAAAATCATAAATTGACTGTTTTTCTTGCTACTTAATTATGGCATTGTCATGTCAGCAAAGATTTCTAAAGGGTCCCGTCAAAAAATCATCTTTTTCTATCAAAATGTGCAGTTTCTTTGAAATTAGACATGATCCAAAATTTTATCTTGTCAGAAAATTGAAGGCCCTACCAAATGGAATCCTGAATTTCCGCCATTGCCAGAGGTCCACTATACCCAGGCTCTTTTTCAGGTCTTCATTAAGTCGTAATAGGGTGTGCTGGGTGCTGTTGAGTTTTCATAACATATTATATTTCATAACAGATTTGATTAAACATAATTCCCTAAAATATTTTTTAAGCTGAGGGGAGAACACTTTTTAGTCTACTGTATAGTTCTCTCTATTAGTTGTGTCAACTTTTGTTAAAGCAGGGCACATATTAGCCGTTTTCATAAGAAAGGGAACGTTTTGTTGAAAAGTGAGCGATTTGATGCCAGGCGTGTTTTTATGTTCTTCTAAATCATTCGAAAATTACGCCTAAAAGTGTATTCTTTTGGAAGAACAGGGTGTAGCAAGTTCTTCCCCGAGTCTCAAGTTTCAAGCAATGAGATGATTTATCCACGATTATTCGTCAGGATAAATTCTGTAGTTCAACCAAACATGAAATGGTATTTCTAACCCCATAGAGATTCTACTGAGTTCCTGTACGAATGATTTCAAAAATCTCTTTCAAAGTTACATTGAATTGGTTTTCGATAGCCACCCACATCCTCGCTTTTGGCCGTTAGATCTTTCGATTGCAAACAAGTAAACTATAATAATTTTTGGGTGGTTAACATAAACCCAGTGGAAAAAAGACAACCTTCTATTACTTGTATTTCTTCTATTGATTTTTTCACAAGCAGATATAATATAGTATTCAATAAATAGTATAGCATACAAAATCTAGTATGAAAGCATTATTTATTCTCAAATTCACCTGTTCTTCAGTGCGTTGCACTCATTCTTGGAATTGACTGCACTTTTCCCTTCCGTCTCCTACCCTCTTTTCGCTCTCGAAAGTTCTTAGAAGATCTCTTGGGCGTCGATTTCCAAAAGCAGCACGCACAACCATCGATATCACCATCAGAGTCCAGAGATTGACTGATATTCTCGTTGGCAATCCTCTCAGAAGCGTCCGCTGTTTCGACTTTCTCTGTTATGGCAATATCGTACTTTCGTCTCGTATGCTCAAAAGGTTCTTGCTGTGTGAGATTTTCGCTGGAACCTCGTTTTGAGGTCAATAGAGACCTAGCGGTTTGCGCATCCTGATCATTGCGGAATGGTCGCTCAGATACGAGAATAATCATTGTGTCGGACATCCCTGCGTGAACGTCCTTGCAGCTGATACTTGAAGAAAACTAATAACAAGTTAAACCAAGAACCTCTTATAAAGACAAGAGTTACATAAGATCTTTGAGTGTGTGGTCGCTAATATCCAAAAATAACATGTGTTCTGGCTCGAATCTGCGTCGTCTCGGGAGTTCCCAATTAATGCCTTGATCAAAGAAAAGAGCATTGCAGGAGACTTGGCACGCTAACTGCTTTTCAGAGTATTTGATTCTCAGCACTATTCAAGTATTCGATTTAATTGCCTAATTACTAACATCCTATAACTGGTTAACATCTGAAACACGTCAGAAAGAATCTTGGTTGGTGCAAATATAATTCCAGGTTGGTCCATTCACGTTTTGAGTACCAGTCCGCCCTAATTTGTTTCTCACGTGGACCGTCTCACTTTCGCAACTCTTCTCCAAGGCTACTTTCGTAATAAACTGGACATCAAGAGAACCGAAAACGTGACTTGGTGTTGATGATCACCGCCTATTCCGGGGCAACATGCAAAGCCCCGTGGGTTGGGACTGGCCATCGCACTAGAACTTTTCCATGTCACCAATACATCAAATCCTACTAAAATATTGAAAGCATGTGTAATTATAAAGGAATATTTTATAGGGAATTGAGTTCCACACCTGATACAGGGAAGCCTCTCATGGAAACCTCCATGCAATTGACAAAAGACGTCCTCTGAAAATTTTTTTCCTTACGTCATAACTTTGCACAAGAACCGATGGGGAAACACTCTCACAAAGAACGTATGAGATGTCTACGAAATAAGCCAAATTTCAAGGAGTTTTGATAAAACTATAGAATTTCCACCAAGGCTATACAAGATTTTCATAGAGGGATTTGCCCTTGCCCCTCGACAAGAACCCTTCCTAATACAGACCCCTCAAATCTCAGTACGCGCTCAGTACTATAGGTGACCACAAAAATGGGGGTTTCACTGCACATATTCATGCTGTCTCGTTAAAAGTAATTCAGTTTCTGTTGATTGTGGTATATGCTTCGATTATAAGAACAACATCTCTCTCAGAGACGGCGCGCACGAAATTGAACCTGGAAGGGCTAAGAATCAAGTTAAGTGACAGGAGGAACCACCATGTTTGGGTCCGATGCGAAAAAATTTTTTTTAAATTAAGCCTTCTAGAACGGCTAAAAATGCATCTCTCAGACTAAAACTTATCAAATTACTATACTGCTCATATAAGACAATTTGACGATTCTCAGAAAATATTGATTATTGATCTTTAACAAAAATTTGGGAGGGGAGGAGTCATGCTAAAACTCTGGTGACAAACGTTGGGGAAAGAAAGAAAATTTGACCTTTGGTTCAGGGTGTACCTCGATGTGAATAGCAATAAGCTGTTGTATTGATTGAGAGAATTTTACTTCAGCCCTTCATTGTTCTAATTTATATCTTTCTTGATTTGTTTTATTTCTTGCTACTACAAAGCAATAGTATATGTTTGATAGAATGAAAGTTTCCAGCAATACATCTATTCATTAGAGGCCATTAGATTTTTCCCCCGTTATTCACCTTGGGAGGCTGATTAGACTATTCTCCCGTTAGATTTCTTGCCTCTTCCAATGAAGAATTTTGTTGTGGTTTTACCACCCATGGGTAAGCCAGCAATGACCCAGGGTTACAAAATAATAAACACAGTCTGATCTTTAGAATCAACTCAAATTGGATATGCTAACTGCCGATTGTTTCACTGTAGTAATTAAAGGCAGGGACTATTCATCATAAACTTGCAACACCGCCAAATATATCAATGATCCACAAATAGGCCCTGATCTATGATATTCAGTCATCTTTCAACCTTCACAGTACAATGCCAAAAACTCTCTTTGAAAAAGGTTTTAGCGTTCCAAAGGGTATGGATCCAGGGCTGTAGAAGAGGAAGGCTCAGGAGGGCTCAACTCCCCTTCTACTTTTCGAAGGGGGGCTGGGCCCCCTCCACTACAGCCTCTAGTCTATATCAAATGATTTCATTGGAAACTCAGTAAGGCGTTATTCACAGTAAAAGTTGGCTCACTAGATGGAATACAGTGTGAATATTAAATGGAAAGCAACTATCAAATGACAGCATGGCATTTTAAGTTAAGCCATAAGAATGGAGATTTTATTGATACTATAGGAAACAGAAATAGTCAAAAGTCATTGTAACACGTTTGTTATATTTAAGCTATATTATGGTTGTTACAATTAATTTCTATCTTTCTAGCCTGGAATACATTTTCATTATTTTTATCACCAGTTGCAAAACTGATACTTAGCTTTTTAGAACATGTTCGTCCTCTTTAGCTTTTCAGACATAGCATATGCATTTGTTTCTGATTTTGCATTTTAATCCAAATATGAAAAGCCAAGAATGTCATGTTTTTTCCTTAAAGTTTTAAGACACCCTCCCCTCCAAATCCATAAGATGCTCCGTGAAAAAAGACTTAGGATAATAACATCTGAAGGAAATCGATCACGTCAAGTGATTGGTGAGATCCAATTCAACGCATTGAAGGAAAGACTCGCTTACTAGGTATTTTATAGGTATATAGATTTTTGTAGAAATATGTGAAACATGCTGGCACTTCAAATTCTGGTTGCATATAGATCTGTTCATGCATGTAAAAGCTTTGTGAAAGGAGGGTTGCCAAGACAATATGTTGGTCTCTTCTTATATCAAGAGGTTTGAATTTGGGGTGCCACAAGGATCCTTTTTAAGTGCACTGCTCTGCCTACAAATGGCATGATATTGGGCCAAAAACGCAAGGAGAGATATTGGAAGCCATGCCATTGCATATCATACATGCTACTGCATACTCTAAACTTCATGGAGCACATGCTTCTCAGCACTGAAAGTGGTTACAAGGAAAAACATTGCCGCAAAATACGTTCGCAACAGAAAGCCTTATGAGTTGTTGGATTTTTTAGCAAGTATAGAATTATTGATCAGAATAGCGTCGAAGACATTCGGTTTGCCAACTGAATATTCATAAGGTATTTAGCAAAGAAAGATGCTACAGCACAAAGACAAGTGACTCAGTACCATACCAAGGTGTCGGTTTTGGAGATGGACCGTGACGCACCCTTTGCGAAATGGCCGTGGGTGAGCAAAGAGAAACGGTAATGGGAAAGAAATAATACAGGCATCGGGGAATTTAGTGCGTCGTAAGCACGTTCGGAAAATTCATGGGAGGGTTGACAAATAGACACAAATCAATAGGACAGGATAAGCGACATTCAGTGAAGCAATACTCCTCAGAACAGGATAGGTCTTGCAAGATGAAACTCTGTTTTCCATGTTTAATATGCTTGATAATGTTCAAAGGTTAGCCTTAATTCAGCATAGGGGCATTTTGTTTTCAAAGGTGTGATCAGGTTAATTTTTCTACTGTATAAACAAACTATTTCAATTAGCTACAAGAATTTTAAACTGTTTGCTTGCTAACAGGAGTATAGAAGCTTTTATTTACTTTTTGGACACGTTCCATCGTAGATATGATGCGTGTTCTTCCAACGAGATATCAACATTTAAGCGTAGGAGGTTAATAAAAGAAATACTATGATCGATGTGGTAATTTGTGTACCCATCACAAAAGAAAGAAAACTGGTATTGATTTATATTAAAGGAACTACTCCAAACTAAACCAATGTCAGCTTACAGTGGCGTTACGCACGGTGTGCACCTTTAAGGACAAAACTAAGGGCCCCAAAACATTTGAACTTCCCCCCTGAAGGGGCCCCAAGAAATATATAGATAAATGATGTCAATTAGGCTTTTCTGTAATTCACATCTATATCGTTATAGAATTTTGTACTTAATTAACCAGAATATCACTGATATCTAAAATCTAATTGATTTTCTAAATTAAGCAGTTTGAAAATGTTTATCTTTCAAGTCTAAATTTATATTTTCGTAATTTTTTAACGTTATATTTTCGTAACGTTTCGTAATTTATATCTTCCAAATTTTCCAGCATTGCAAGCCACACCAATAGGGGGCCAGAGGGGCCGTGATCCCAGGCACCACGGAGCGTTGAGAAAAGTGGGGGGTCTAAAACAAGTTGGGGGGCTAAAACCGTATAAAAAGAGGCTTTTCTGGTAGTTTGATACTTTGCATTTTTTGCAAAAAGTGGGGGGCTAAAGCCCCCCAGCCCCCCTTGTTCCGCGGGGCCTGGACCCCGCATTTCAAAGCATGATGCACAACAAATCGATCCCCATCACATCAGATATTATGTAAGGGAGACTCGCGGTCTACGGTCGAGGCACTTGGTCAAGGACCACACAGTTTTAGAACTTCAATTGGCAGAATCTGTAATTCCTTTGCATATTTGCTTGTTACCGTGGAAATGATTTTAGCGAACGACGCTAAAAACCCCGCAAAAATCTGAATAATACTAACATCCTTTTCAAGCAAAGATGAATGCTTTGGAAATCTTGAATCCTTTTGTTGCATGGCAAACCCAAAACTGAAAATATAGTGCATGTAATACTGTTATTATTGCTTCACATGTCAACAATGTATGCGTAACAACTTGAACAAATTGCTTTTCTTTGTTGCCGTTTTGAGGTTGCGTATAATCTCTCCCTCCTCCACAGATAAAACATCAGTGGATTTTTGTGCGGGTAGTGCGTGGATAAGAATGCATTGGAAGGGCATAAAGGGGGCGTCTGCGTGACAATGTGTTCTAGAAGCGGGATAAGATTAGATCGAGCAGCTTTCTAGTCTACCTATTCTAAAAAATACCTCTAGAAACTAATTGAAGACAACTTGCATATGCACAATTACAAAAGGTCCTTGGAAAAAAATGTCTCTACCATCTGATATCAGCCCATGTCAGGACAAACCCGATGCCATAAAAATAACCCCACTATCACTTTAACCAACCCTTTTTTCTGTAAAGACTATAGATTGGGGGCAGGGATTACTGTGACTAGTGTGCATAAAATGTTTTGGCTGAATTCTGTTATCACATTGGATCTAAGGGTAGGGAAAAGTAAGCCCAAATTTCGTATTTCGAAATTTCAAATTACAAGCAAACTTCGAAAGCCCAGCTCGTCACCTCTGTGTATCTGTGTATTCTATTCATTAACGGCCAATTGCCTATGCATACACCAGTTTTAGCAAGATCCCTAATAGCGCAAGCTTTGCAGTTCAGAGTTTTGAATCTTTGCGAAAGGTGTCATAGTTCTCTGTGAAAGGCAGGGGATGCTAAGAGAGAGCATCAGTAGTCCTTTGGCTTCTTTTGGTAGCTTCACGCCCCTTCCTTCCATAAAGCGTTTCTTCTCAATATACCCCTCCTTATATTAGTAAGATAGGGAGCTTTTTTAGAGCTCATCGCAGGCACTTAAATCCTTAAGATATTGTCTGGAAGCATCAAAATTTTCTTATAAGAAAAACAGATAGAAAAGGCAGGAGATCATGTCTTTTTGAATTCATTCAGATTTTAAATGCCCCTAAAATTCAGAAGAAGATATTAAAGCTAACGCCAACCCTACAAAATCATTTGGAAAGTATTCGCGTTTCCCCGTGTCACTCCCGGCCATCTTTCTCTCTCTCACCCTTTTTCTCAACCTGGAACGTGGAGTTTTATTAGCAGTTGTGGTTGCCTCTTGTTTTGGTTTCACGCGAAAATTACATAAAAAGAATCATATCAGATCTTCGCTATCCCCACAGTGAGTAATCACGCCCTCACGTAGAAATACCCTCAAAGCCCATCCCTTGCTCTCCGTGCTTTATTGTTTTCACTTTCAGAACAAAAAGCGCCCACGCAAACAACCGGCCTCCGTTTGAGCTTAAATATAAGTGTTGCTACCATACCATAAAAAGCCAAAACAACCGACTGCTCGCTGAGCTCCTTGCGCCTTGACTGAAGACGAATCCAGAACAGAGAGCAAGCGAAAAAGGCGCTGTTCCATTTCGCAAGATGAAGCTCGTTACCGTCGGCTTCCTTCTCTCCTTCGTGGGGTATTGCCTCGGCGACTGTTATATGCATTTTCCAAGAGGTTCAAACAATCGACTGAACGAAAAATCAGCAAACCGAAGAAACGCAAACAGAGTTTTTGATTCCCAAGTAAGTATTCTACTTTTACGAGACTATACAGCAGCAGGAAGATTCCCTTCGAAGAACCATTAACTTACATGTAACTTTTTATCGTTAACTGCCATAAAAATGATTTTTAGCTGAATAACTGTTCGAAACTCGTATTTCAACTCCAATTGCACGGGTAAAAAGATCGCGAGTAAAAAGATCTCTTTAACGGAAAAATCCGCAGTACTAAGAGAATTTAAGCTAAGAGAGGCAGAGAGCATTTCTTTAAGATGCTGCAACAGCAGTTTCTGAATTTAACAATATTCATTTTTGCTTTGTGTTCTTTCAATCTTTGTGTTTCTTAGTATTTTGTCTATTTCCGCTCAACCGTGGCAAAGGTAGGTTATAGGTTTACTTTCACTTGCATTCTCAATCTCAAGGTATTTCATGCTCAAGGGGCATGATCATTGGCAGTGAAAAGGCACAATCGTTAGCTTATTCAAGTAAAATAAAATCTCTGTACACACCTAACAAATCGTATCAGTACACAGGCACCGCGGAGCAGGGGGGCTTCTGGGGTGCCTTTGCAAAAAATGCCTAATATTTAGTACTAAACTACCAGTAAAGCCTCTTACTACTTTTTTAGACCCCCCACTTTTCTCAACGCTCCGCGGTGCCTGGTACACACCTGTCATTCTACTAGTAATCTGCTATATATTCAAAGAACGCGAAAGCCTTCCCTGTGCACGATTGTCAAGCTGTTTTTCTATATTTTCTTCAAGCCAGAAAACAATTCGGCCTTTTGGGTGGTAAAAAACATCGAAAGTATATACAGGGGCGTACCTTGACGATTTGGAGTGGGGGGGGGGGGGGGGGTGTAAACGGGTGATTTTACCGAACAAAATTCAACTCTTGCTAATCAATGTATAACTTATTTTCAACTTACTTATTGCGAATTTTAACTTATTTATCAATATGATCTTGTCAATTACGAGCAAATGAGATCCTTCCATGTGCTAACAAGATACGCATCTACTGAAAATCCATAATATTTACCGACCATCCGAAAAATATACCGACCAACTTTCCAAAAGTGGGGGGGGGGGAACAACTCCCCCCTTCCCCCCACACCCCGGTAGGTACGCCCTTGGGTATATATAGCTAGTGCCAACTGATTTTGAACTGTCTCAAACGTTGACTATCTCTAACAATTTGTTATTGTCATTCCCTAGAGATACCCTCTCGGGGCATTGGAGTTCCCTAAATGATATGCCTTTTGTTAAATGTTTTCAATAATTATTTATAATCGATACAATAGGGATTTGTACAAACAAACCTCATTCGAATAGTTGCATTTCTTTGAAATAATAATGTTTTCAATTTGCAGCCCTTTTTTTAATCCTCGTTGTTGATCTTCTAAACACAATCCTTACAATTCAATATGTCAGTTCTAGCGCGATTACAGTTTGTGCCCCAAGCCTTTCCACATCCCACGTAGATCCATATTAGCAGATCTTCTTTGTTTGTCATAAAACATAACAAAATGCTACTGAATCAAAACAGCTTTTGTGTTCGCCTAAATCATCTCCCACTCTATTTAAGAACTCTCTCCATCCCACGTTTCACGGTTAGTCATCCAGCATAATAGACAGAAGGTTTTGCAAATTTTAAACGGCTGTAGAAAAGACTCCAGCAGCTAGCTGCTCTGGAAAGTATTGTAAAATTGCAAAATACTTTTGCCGACTGCCTTGTTGAATCGCTGCTCGTATTTTATATCTTCATACTTGAAAATGGCTTTGAAAAAAGTAAACATTTTAAATTAGCTGAAAGCTTTTTCTAAGCCATTTTCAAGTTCTGTACCGCCAGAAAACTGTTCATATCTTCATACTTTGTTGCCACCTTTTAAAGCCTAGCGCACACAGCAGATATTTGTCGCAAAAGACGAAGATTTTTGTCTTTTTCATAAAAACTGATTGCCCGCACACAGCACGATTTTTTTCGGATTAGTGCCTCGATTAAGTTTTGTGACCTCTTTTTCACATTGTTTGAACTTCTTGGCGCGTAAAATAAAATTCCAAACACGAATAAAATTGCTCAAGAAACTGACAAAGGTTATGAATTTGACAAAAAAGAAAGCACTGTTGGCTATTATCCTTTTAATAAGACGAAGAAGAAGGAGGCGAATTGCGAGACGAATGTGGGTGAAATCCTGGATTGAGCGTAGAAATGAGCTGGGAGCATATCAGAATCTTGTTCAGGAGTTAGCATCGGAGGATAAACCTATGTACCAACGCTATTTTCGTCTCAACGAAGACCTTTTCAAATCTCTTCTTGCCAAAGTAAGACCAATGATTCAAAGAAAAGACACTCACATGCGAAAATCAATTAGTGCAGCAGAAAGACTTGCAGTCACACTACGATACTTAGCAACAGGTGAGATTTCACAATAGTCTGCCAGCTTGATTCAAAGAGAAAATATAGGATACAAATGAGAAAAGTAAAAATATATTTGTGAATAATAAAAATAACTTTAAATATTCTAAATGTTTCTTCTACAGAGTTCGTAGCAATACTTAATAACAATAATGACAATACTTCTTACTAATTGATATCTTTCACAAACCATTTCACCTTTAATGCCAATCATAATGAGCATTTTGAATTGAGTATCATCAAAATGAATGCAATCATAAATCTGATAATCTTACATGGAGAAATTGAGGTAATCATATCATTTTAGATATTGATTGGTATAATAAGATGTTGCATATCTTTACAGGAGAGTCATTTCACAGCCTGGGATTTTCATATAGACTTGGAGAAAGAACAATTTCATCAATAGTGACAGAAACTTGTGATGCAATTTATCAGAATCTTAAGGATAGATATCTTAAGGTACATAACATTTTTTGTTTTCTACTTTTTGGTTTTCAATACAATATTTAATGTGCTAATTAAAACCAACTCACATAACATTGAAGAGTGCAGTGAAAGCAATATACTGTATGAATTTTAAAGATTAGAATTGTCCGTACGATGGCCCTTCACTCATATCTTGCTGGTCAAGTGACTGCCTGAAAGACTGCATTCTAGCATGTTGACCAGCATGATATGGGTTGTTGAATTCATTTGAGAAAGAGCCCATCTGTGCCTGAAAAAGAGCATTTTGAATGTTGTTCATTGCAACAAGTCTTGTTTTCTCATCCATCACAGACAAAGCATGTGTAACGTATTCCCCAAAGGCAGCTGAAGGGCTTGGCTTTGCATCCTTTTTTGCAGCTAAATTTTCATCTGCAGAGAAAGATGATGCAAAAGACTTCAGAATGGAGAGTTCTTCCTCTTCCTTTTTCTGCTTTGCAGTTTTGGATTTTTTAACAGCAGCCAGTGGCCTGCTTGTTGAAACTGGTGTCTCTGCAGCAGGGGCATCATTGTCGTCCAAGTCTCCATCACAGTCACTGTCACCAGTGTTAAGCTGTGGCTCAGATAAACTTTCAGTTGAAGACTAAAATTTAATATTTTTGTATTTTAGATTCCAAGCACATCTCATCAATGGAAAACAATCAGTGATGGTTTCTACAATTTATGGGACTATCCTTTTTGTGTTGGTGCATTAGATGGCAAACACATTGCAATCAAACAACCAAAAATGTCTGGATCAGAGTACTTCAACTACAAGGGATATTTCAGCATAGTCCTTCTAGCATTGGCAAGTTATGACTACAAGTTGATATTTGTTGATGTTGGTGCAAGTGGAAGAAATGGTGATGCTGGACTTTTTGAAACATCGCCTCTAAATCAACAGATGAAAGACAAATCAATTGCCTTTCCAGAAGCTGAGCAATTTGGGGAAACATGCATCAAATGTCATTATCATATCATTGGTGATGATGCATTTCCCTTGAGAAATGATATCATGAAACCATTCCCATTTAGACAACTGTTACATGAACAGCACATTTTCAACTACAGGCTTTCTAGAGCACGACGGGTTGTCGAAAACGCTTTTGGTATCATGGCTAATAGGTTCAGGGTGATGCTGACAAAGATTATGTTGGAGCCTGAAAAGGCTAAGCAAATTGTGCTGGCAATTTGTTGTCTGCACAACATGCTGATTGATGAGCAGCCTTCATATAAAAATGCATGTGACAGTGAAAGAGACAACCATGAGCTTTTTCAAGGCAGCTGGAGATTAGACAAATCTCTAACTGAGTTACAGAAGACAAAAAACAGAAACTGTTCATTAAGTGCTAAGGGTCAGCGTGAGCTTTTGAAACAATATTTTTGCTCAACATCTGGATCAGTATCATGGCAAGATAGTATGGTTGCAACAAAAAATAATGAACTCAACTAGCTAGTGTTGTATTGTACCTGCAAATTAGAAATAGACACTCTGTTGGATACATATGGGCTTAAAAATTGAAGGCGGTCTTCTATCCATTGAGTCTTCTTCGTCTTTTTTGGTCGTGCACTTCCACTGCTTGGGATTCTGCGGGAGCGTGCATATTGCGTGCGCAGAGATGCGATTCTTTTTTTTACTTGATTTACTAGAATGAATAAAACATGAATTCGTACAGCAATGTTTCACTTCAAATTGAGTAGGCCTAAGAAAAGAGGACTAGCCTAGCTAGCTAGTCAAAATTATTCACTCACCGTTTGAAGAAAGTTTAGTTGCAATTTCGTTCAGGGCTGCTAGCTTCTTGTTTCTGTCTGAATATTCTGGAGACGTAACCATATACAGACAAGCCTTTTCTTGCCACAGATCGACAAGCTGCTCCTCTTTGCTTGCTGTCCATATACCGACTTCGTCTTCTGTATTCTCCATGGCGTTCTCGATCTTTTTTCTTTTGGCGGGAAAGAAAGGCTCCACAGAATTCACGTGACCATATAATCCAAGTTTTATTGGTTTAAAAATTAAAAACTTGTCTTTCGACCCCGCACATTGCACGATTTTTGTCTTTCGTCGTAAAAGACAAAGACAAATATCAAACATTTTTGATCTCAAAGATAATCGTAAAAGACAAAAATCTTTGCGATTTTGCCCCGCACACTACAGATTTTCGTCTTTTGAGACAAAAATCTTCGTCTTTTGCGACAAAAATCTGCTGTGTGCGCTAGGCTTAAATCTCGTTTGATGATTTTTAGAGTAAAGCTGTTTAAGATAATTGAATGTATTGCGATCGCTATGATGTCGGGGCTGTATGTTGCGAAGTATCATAAATTCTGTTGCGATTGTTATTGTACAAGATCAGAAGCTTTGATTGCTCTCTAAATTCTTGAACAATTCTAGAACAACAACAGAGGTGGGTACAATGTTGGAGACAAGACTGACAGAGCATTTACCGTCGAGAGCCAACAATACCATGAGGTAATTTCAAGAAGCTTATCTAAAATGTTTGCTTTTGCTATAAGAATCTTTTTGTCCCCCTCATAGTGTTCCCTTTATAGGCCTTTATATGGCTTTACAGAATTTCGACCTTCAATCAAAAATCCAACTAGCTAGTGTTGGCCTATTGGTTAGACAATAAGCCAATCAGCATACTGCTTTGTTTGCGTGTAATGAACAACCTGTTGGGTATGTAATGATAAAACAGGCACCGCGGAGCAGGGCTGGGGGGGGGGTTTAGCTCCCCACTTTTTACAAAAAGTGCCAAATATTAAGTAATAAACTAACAGTAAAGCCTCTTTTTATACGATTTTAGCCCCCCCTCCGCTTTTTTAGACCCCTCCCCTACTTACCTCAACGCTCTGCGGTGCCTGTAAAAAGACGATGACCTTAATTGTATTGCAAATCATTTGTACCATTGTGTATCATGTCTAAGAATTCCAAAAAGCCTTATAATAAAAAGCACCACTTTGGCAAAGACATATAATTGTCAACGATAAAGAATACGTTAGATAAATTTCCATTCACTCGGCATCGCTGGTAAGGTCCTTTGATTTACATCTGCATCAATCCTTATATTCCATCTGCTGCTTGCAATGTGGTATAGTTGATCCTTCATTCGTTGTTTTAGACATTCTTCACAAGCAGTGCTCAATCAAGACTGCCTTCAGGTAATGGCAAGAGCTTCTTGGACATAGAATGGACAAATCAACATGGATGCGGTGGAAACGAAGACACAGACCCACACAAACTTAACTGCAACATGGTCATCCAGTATCTTTGTCAGCAGGATAACTCGTTACCGGCTGGACACAGGCTTAAACTACGCAATGGGCGCACGACAGCTACTCCTAACTTCAGAGGGGGACGTGCCAACGAGAGAATGGCCACAACACTCAATAGAATGAACGGCGACCTTGACCCTAATAGAGTACTCCATGAACAATGGGCCTGGTACGACAAATGTAGCCGAAGGGACAGAAACTACGGTGAGAAGCTCGTTGATTTTGATGATATACAAAATAATCACGTTCTACCATTAAGCGTGAAACACGGAGTAGAACCGTCCTGTTCTCTATGCCAAATAGCGTGTACAGCTCTGTCTATATAATACGGAATCGAGCACTTTATGACATAACGGTAAACAATAGTTTTCGCAATACTGCTTATGCCATTGCCATCCCGCTGCATTTTGTGACTTTGCAAGAAACATTGTTCAAATGTCTGAGCGATGTTGTCATAAAATCATTTTCTAAAATTCGCTTATTTGGGCCATATTACCTTAAAAACTGTTATGAAATAGTCAGGCACCGCGGAGCGTTGAGAAAAGTGGGGGGTCTAAAAAAGTGGGGGGGGGGGCTAAAACCGTATAAAAAGAGACTTTTCTGGTAGTTTGATACTTTATACTTTATACTGGTGGCCCCGCAGCCCCCCCCCCC